AGAAAAGTACATCCTTCTTTTATGGTCCCTTTTTTCCACTGGGGTCTCACCCACAAAGATCCTTCATGCTTATTATGTAGGACATTTTTTGCCACAATGTCTTGGTTTTCCATGCCTGAACTACTCTCATGGGCTTTTCAGCCAGACCAGAATGTCTTAAGGGCTGATTCTATGGTCAGTGCTACTTAAAGAGATTGTTATTCTATGAGTCTGCTGTGTGGAATGCTTGCCATGTTAGAAAATTTTCTCCTTTTTAATTCTACATATTATTAATACCAGACATTTAATCCTATTTATCAGAGTGCTATTTAAATTATTAGTTTTTTTTAAAGATAGAAATAACAGAAAAGAATAAAATGGTCGCTTCCCTCTATTGTTTGTACTACTCTTTCTAGTAAAAAAAAATCCATGCATCTTTTATTTCAAATTAAACAAATAACTATATATTTTAATTTGCTATTCTTAAAATACTTGAGATTCTGGCTTGATTAACCTGTTATCAAATGTCTGGTGGATATCAGCAGGAGAGAATTATGTCCTGCCCATAACCCCAAGTCTGACCAGGAAAGATAATACAATAAAAAAAAATTGGAGGTAGAAAGAAAGCATTCCTGGGGTAGACCCATCAATAGGATGCTTGTTGAATTTACCAGCCCAGCCAATGATGAATAAAAGGGGCTGATCATTTGAGGGTCATCTGTACAACAGAAGCAAATCAAGACTTTCCTGATTGGGAAAGATTTCATCCTACCCATTAGAGAATATTCAAACAATCCTAACCTTCATGTATACATACTCACAACAAACAGGATAGCTAGAACAATCTTGAGCCACAAGCAAAAACACTTTTGAGAAGCAATAAAAGAAGAACAGCTCTTACTTAGACTGTTGAGTAACAGTTCTCTTAGCTTTTTTAACTCCATTCTTTCTCCCTCCTTCCCTCCCTTCCTTCCTCCCTCTTTCTTCCTTCTTTCTTTCCCCCTTCCTCCCTCCCTCTCTCTGTCTTTCTCTCCCTTTCTCCCTTTCTCTCTCTCTCTCTCTCTCTCTCTCTCTCTCTCTCTCTCTCTTTTTCTTTTCCTTTTCTTTCTCATACCAAACAGGAAAGGGGAGAGGAAGGGATGGGAGCAGGTGGGAGGATGGGGGCAGTGGGTTGCATTTTTTTTTAATATTTATTTTATTTGAAAGATAGAGTTACAGAGAGGCAGCAGCAGAGGTGGGGAGTGGAGGTCTTCCATCTGCTTGTTCACTTCCCAGATGGCCACAATGACTGGAGCACACTGATCTGAAGTCAGGAGGAAGCTCCTGGGTCTCCCACATGGGTGCAGGGGCCAAAGGACCTGGGCCATATTCCACTGCTTTCCCAGGCTGTAGCAGAGAGCTGGATGGGAAGTGGAGCAGCTGGGACTCAAATCCACATCCATATGGGATGCCGCACCGCAGGCAGTACACAGTGCCAGCCCCTAGACTTTATTTTTATTTTTAAAAAAATTTGCTTATTTCTTATTTATTTGAATGGCAGAGAGACAAAGACAGACAGACACAAATCTTCCATCAGTTGATTCATTCCCCAAATGTCTGCAGCAACCCAGAATTCCCAGAATTCCATTCAGGTCTCCCAAGTGGGTAGCAGGGACTCAAGCCTCCCTGGGTGAGCACCAGCAGGAAGCTACAACTGGAGGTGGAGAAGGCACTCCAATGGGGGCTGTGGGTGTAACAGACAGTGTCTTAACTGCTGCAGCAAACACCCACACCTAGAGTTTTTGTTAATATGAAATCTGTTGGTTTGTAAGTCTTGACTTGCTCTCCCTCCCTCTCTCTCTCTCTCTCTCTCTCTCACACACACACACACACACACAAAACACTTTCAGTCAAATAAATGGAATTTTTTTTTGCTAAACTTGGCCATTAGATTGCAACTACTTCATTGAAATACTCAAAGTCAATGGATCTAGAATACAGGCATAAGTAGGTAGAAATTAAAGGAACTGGGGGCCAACTGGTGTATCGCCTCACTAAACATCAGAAGTTAAAGCTCAGAAAAAGGGCACATGATGAGAAGGAGAGGTCAGAAACCAAATATCAAGAAGCTATTGAGAAGATCCCTGGAAATAGACAATGAAAGTGTCAGAGAAAATCTTCTACAGTGAAGATGGCTTTGAATGCAAGATGAAGATTTTGAAGTTTTCCATAAACAACTGACAGTCAGTAGCTTGATTATTTAACATCAGAGCTCAGGCAGTTAAAGAAACTAGTCCAGGCAAGCTGGCAATCTAATATTTGAATTGTTGCTTTTTATTCTGTCTCCACAGTTCAACCTTTAGAGCAGACTGTGACCAACTAGTCAAATTAGACCCATGGTGATATGGAATTTCAACACTTAGAACAGGTTATATGCGATGACCAGAATTAGCTTGCACATGTATTGGGTTTATTTTTTCTGATGTTTTAGTAAACTCTTACAGAGTGGTGCTCCAGAAATTATCAGGGCTGCTTGTCTCTGGCTATAATTTATGCAAGGGAGGGGCCGGCATCCTGGCACAGTAGGTTAATCCTCTGCCTGTGGCGCCGGCATCCCGTATAGGCGCCGGTTCTAGTCCCAGCAGCTCCTCTTCCAATCCAGCTCTCTGCTGTGGCCTGGGAAAGCAGCAGAAGATAACTCAAGTACCCGGGCCCCTGCACCTATGTGGGAGACCTGGAAGAAACTCCTGGCTCCTGGCTTCCAATCGGCGCAGCTCTGGCTGTTGCAGCTATTTGGGGAGTGAACCAACGGGTGGAAGACCTTTCTCTCTGTCTCTTCCTCTCACTGTCTATAACTCTACCTCTCAAATAAATAAATGAAATCTTTTAAAAAATAAATACATAATTTATGCAAGAGAATGACAAAATCGAAATGGATTCTTGGAAAATTATTGGTTCTGGACCAGCCCTGCAGATGTGGCTGGAGGTGGAGGAGCAGCTTTGAAAGGTAAAACCACAGGAGGATAGGATGGAGAGAGTGGCTGACTGTAGAAAAGGGGAAAATTAGTAAGAGTTTCTTTGACCTTTGATACCTAAGTTCTTTTTTAAAAATTTTTTTTTTACTTATTTGATAGGCAGAGTTACAGAGAGGCAGAGCCAGAGAAAGAGAGAGAGAGAGAGAGAGAGAATCTCCCATCTCCTGGTTCACCACCCTAAAAGGCTGCAATGACCAGAGCTCTGTACATCTGAAACCAGGAGCTAAGAGCTTCTTCTGGGTCTCCCATGTGAGCACAGGGGCCCAAGGACTTGGACCATCTCCCATTGCTTTCCCAGGTGCATTAGCAGAGAGCTAGATTGGACATGAAGCAGCCAGGACTTGAACTGGTGCCCATATGGGATGCTGGCACTACAGGCGGTGGCTTTTTCTGCTATGCCACAGCACCAGCCCTTAGGTTCTTACAAAGATAATAGAAAACAAAATCTTGGAGAAACTTTTGGATTTATCTAGGTATCCTCATTCAGGGAAGATGTACAACCTTTCTTTTGTACATCCATTTTAAATTTAGCTGGTATTTATAAGTTCTCTCTAGAGAAGTTTAGGTAAATTCAGCCAAGGCCCAATTTTATTTTGCTGTTTTATTGTTTGTGAAGACATAGAGGCAGACTCTGTATAAAAGTGTCAATATCAAAATGCCTTTATTCTTTTCCCTTTAAAGAGATATCACAGTAAAGATAAGACATAATCCTGACTTACTTGGATCTCTTAGAAATCAGGGAAGGTGTAGGGATGCTGGAAAAGGAAATGCCAAGTCCAGAAAATTCACCTTGAGGTAGGTGAAGCAGAAGGCAGCAGAGCTAGAAATTGTATAAACCTTAAGTAAAAGACCTCATCAGCACCATAAGGCAGTTTCTGTAAATTTTCCAAATATAACTTTTCATTTGCACAGTAAGCAGCATGAGGGGGAAACAAAGTCATTAAGATAAATGCTAGCCTTTACTGCACACTTAGAATATTCCAAATAATTTCACATCAAATTTATCTCTACAAGTCAAAGATAATGAAACAGTTCAATCCCTTCTTAACAATGTCCAAAAACAGAAACAGAGTTTATACTAAGCTATGCAACAGATTGTACTGAAATTCAGGTTCCTATTGAGTCTCTCTGTATCTCCCCAGTAACTCCTAGCTGTCTTAGTCAGGGAAGAAGGCTCTTTGCCTTCTATCAATGTCCCTTAGAGACTATATTTAGGCTCACAAGCATCATATGACTTACAATTGTCTTTATTCGAAGACAAAGTGCAGCAAAATTTCCTCTAGGTGGATGTCCTCCTTTTAATTAGAAAGAGTGGAGGTGGATAGGCACATGTCCCACCCACCCAAGCTCTAAGTAATGCAAAAATGCTGTAGGATGAACATGATTGGTGCAGGTGTTTGGCAGGACAGTGGGGTAAGTATGGCTCACTATAATGTGTCATATTCTGCATAAAGAACTGGAAGAGAAGAACTGTTGGTCTCCAAACACAAAGGAAAGATAAAGAAATAACCAGTTTAGTTGTCCAATATGACAACTGTGCTATGTATACATGTTGAAATACAACATTGTATCCATTAAAATTATACAAGTGTTATATATTAATCTAGAATTTTAAAAGTTAAAAAAATATTAAAGACAGTTATCCCGCCCTAGGGAAAAGGCTGTATGTAACTTGTCTGTTTCTGCACTCCAGTGGTACTGGGCATGTACTTTTAGGTCATTTAAGCTGGGAATAAACATCCATCCACACTAAGACAAGTACTAAGGAAATGTGAAAAACTTGATGAATGAAGATTTTTCCTGTTTTTGTATTTTCACATTTATTAAATTTTGACTCTTAGAACCCATAATAAATGTCTATTTGCTGGCAACTCAAAGATGTAGAGATATTGAGAACTTCTTGCTTTCTCTGTGACATGGCTCCATTCAGTAAAGGTGGTTGTGATTTGAACAATGATTTCCCCAGCCACATTACTACATCTTGTGTTTTCTCTTTCTTCTTTCCAGGAAGCAGAATGTGCCTACACACTCTTTGTTGTGGCTGTATTTTGGCTCACAGAGGCTTTGCCTCTGTCAGTAACAGCTTTGCTGCCTGGTTTAATGTTCCCTCTGTTTGGGATCATGTCTTCTACCAAGGTAAGTTCTGTAAATGCTTCTTATAATTAGCTTCCATATGCTGTGCTGAGATTTCCAAGAAAAAAGTTTCTATTTTTATTTTTAAAAATATTTGTTTATTCACTTTATTTATTTGAAAGGCAAATAGACAGATGGATACCTCCCATCTGCTGGTTCACTACCCAAATGCTCACAATAGCTGGGGCTGGGCCAGGCTGAATCTAGGAGCAGAGAACTCAATTTAGATCTCCCTCATGGGTGGCAGGAACCTGTTATTACCTGCTGCCTTCCAGAGTATGCATTTTTTGGAAGCTGAAATAGAGAATAGAGCCACGACTCAAACCCAGATACTCAGTTACAAGATATAGACATCCCAAGAAGCAACTTAACCAGTGAGCCAAATACCAACCCCAAAGAGTACCCTTAAAAGGGAGCAATAATCCTGTTTATGAGCCTTCCATGTGAGTCTTATGACCTTCCAGTTATTCCCCCTTTGCCATTTGCTTGTGCCCATCTCAGGAATAAAAACAGCCTGTGACTTCCAGCATCACATGAGTCTGTAGGAGATGAGTGTCCAATCTCCTCTCGCTGACATCTACGGCAGGTGCCTCTCTCCTGACCAGAGAGGCAACTCAGTCACATCCTGTGGAATGTGGAATTGGTTCCACAGTGCTGGAAAAACAATTTTTGTTTTTCATAAAGAAAAGTCTTCCCTGTTTTCTTTTCCAGAAACCTGCCATTTCAAAACATAAAGCCAAATTAACTTGTACATATATTTCTATTTTGTTCTTGCTGAGAGGAGATTGTTCCTGCTGGGAGCCGTTTATTACCCTGATACAATCCAAGAGTACCCATCTGAAGAAAATGGATTCCCCATTAAGAGCAAGAAATGCATTGAAGCCAGAATGTCTACCTCCCCACAGTCTCCAGCCACACAGAAAACAACTGCCTAACCACAGCTACAACATGCTCAGGACAGATGTCACGTTCAAGATGCTAGTCAGGGCAGTTTATCACCTTGGGACTTCTGTCTTCAGCCTGAGTGCAGTGTTGATCTCTTGGGGGCTCACCTGTCTTTAATGTGAGTGGAGATTTTTCTTCTTTAACCCTTGATTACAGTTTTTCTTGTTTGGGGAGCTGTTTGCTCCTTTATCTTCATGTCATGCAGGAGCCCATGTTTCTGCATCTCTGATTCTCTCTGCTCCTCATTTCTTACTGTGTTTATCCCTTCCCCCTCACCCAGACTCTTCATTCTGGTCACCACTGATTTGGAGAGCATAGCTAGGGCTGACCTCAGATTCTCTCACCCCAGACAGATGTCCTACTGCCCCATGGAATCTGAGGTCTATAATTGAAACAGTTTGTTATATGTGTCAGCATGCTATATGACTCTCAATCAAGGGAATATAAAAAGAAGGATTTGAAAATTTCTCAAAAGTAGGGTATCAAAAGGTATATGTTTTAGCATAGCAGGTTAAGCCACTGCTTGAGAAATATCCCATATCAGAGTGCCTGGGATCAAGTCCTGTCTCCACTTTTGATACGGCTTTCTGTTAATGTGCATCCTGTGAGAGAGTAGATGTTGGTCCGAGTACCTAATTCCATGTCACCCATGTTGGAAACTCAGACCAATTTCCTGGATCCTTGTATTTGTGTCTCCCACTTTTCTCTGTCATTCTGTGTTTTAAACAAACAAAATAATAAAAATAAATTTTTAGCAATAGCATATCACATCGTTAACCCATGTCTTACTGAGTTGGATTGTTACATCTTCAGAAATAGTTTAGTCATTACACATTTGTCTCTTATAACTTAATAATAATGAAATTGACTTTTTAAAAGAGGCAGAGGTAGAAGTGAGGTTCATTGGAATCATAGGGTATTTTATAGCAAATTCCTTTGGGAGACAACAGGAGGTAAAAAAGCACTCATAGAGACCTGGATTTGTGGGAGCTGCCAAAGATAGACCTGTATGTCTCTCCTTCTTTGTGGTGTGTTGGGGATTAAGAAGAGGCAGCAAAATTGTTGGTACCAACAGCAGTTGCATCCCTCTGGCATCACAGAAGTACTTTATCTCTGAAGGTGTCAATTTCAGACTCTAATAGTCATAGAATCGTAGACTTGGCAGGGAGTTCTGGATTCTCACACCCAGGGCAGGGTCTTCTCCCTGATCTCTTTCACAGATGGAATAAATCAGGAAATATCTTGAGACTTTCAACACATGTAAGTCTCTAATACTCCATAAGGAAATCCATACTTTTTGAAATGTTTTAACTTTTGAAACGCAGCAACTTTATTGAGCTCAAGTCTGAAATTCAATCACCTTGGCTTATTAAACTTTTGCCTAACACACAGGATTCCACAAATAAATTCCACCTTTCTTTTCCATGCAGATGTTGCTCAAGTTTGAAAATCAATTTCATTGGCCGGCGCCACGGCTGACTTGGCTAATCCTCCGCCTGCAGCGCTGGCACCCCGGGTTCTAGTCCTGGTTTGGGCACCAGATTCTATCCCGATTGCTCCTCTTCCAGTCCAGTTCTCTGCTGTGGCCCCGGGGAAGGCAGTGGAGGATGGCCCAAGTCCTTGGGCCCTGCACCTGCATGGGAGACCAGGAGGAAGCACCTGGCTCCTGGCTTTGGATCAGCACAGCTCGCCAGCTGCAGCAGCCATTTGGGGGGTGAACCGATGGAAGGAAGATCGTTCTCTCTGTCTCTCACTGTCTAACTCTGCCTGTCAAAAAAATAAAATAGAAAGAAAATCAATATCATTATTTCCTTATGACTTCCCACCTCCAGCCTTATGGATTCAAGACCTCAACCCCCATACTCAAACCCACTACCTCTCACTCAATCACCACTGTCCTCCTATTCTTTTTTCCAGGAACTAACTCTAGTTTGTCAATGATACTTAAGGATTAAATTAGTTAATAAATGCAAATCAGTTACACAGTAAACACTCAATATATGTTAGTTAATATTATTACTATTTTTTTGACAGGTAGAGTTATAGACAGTGAGAGAGAGAGACAGAGAGAAAGGTCTTCCTTCTGTTGGTTCACCCCCAAAATGGCCACTACGGCTGGCGCTGCAGAGCTGGAGCCAGGAGCCAAGTGCTTCTTCCTGGTCTCCCATGCAGGTGCAGGAGCCCAAACACTTGGGCCATCCTCTGCTGCCCTCCCGGGCCACAGCAGAGAGCTGGACTGAAAGAGGAGCAACCGGGACTAGAACCCGATGCCCATATGGGATGCTGGCACCGCAGGCGGAGGATTAACCAGGTAAGCCATGGCACAGGCCCCAATATTATTACTATTTGTACACTGACAAAAGTGAATAGATTGGGCCGGCGCCGTGGCTCACTAGGCTAATCCTCCACCTAGCGGCGCCGACACACTGGGTTCTAGACCCGGTTGGGGCGCCGGATTTTGTCCCGGTTGTCCAGGCCAGCTTTCTGCTGTGGCCAGGGAGTGCAGTGGAGGATGGCCCAAGTCCTTGGGCCCTGCACCCCATGGGAGACCAGGATAAGTACCTGGCTCCTGCCTTCGGATAGGCGTGGTGCGCTGGCTGCAGCGTGCAGGCCGCAGCGGCCATTGGAGGGTGAACCAACTTTTCTCTCTCTCTCTCTCTCACTGTCCACTCTGCCTGTCAAAAAAAAAAAAAAAAAAAAAGTGAATAGATCACCCAAGAAACATTTGGAGTGCGGCAAAAGTAAATAAGTCTATCAATCCCCTCCTGATTTTGCCCCCTAAGTTCATTTTAAATTTCATGTGACTTTCTTCACCTGATAAATTTAACTATAGTTTGCCCTTAGGATTTTTAATGGACAAAGCTGTTCTTCATCTGGTAATTCTGATTCAGATAGGGCAACTGACATTTTACTCATAAATACTCATAAATAACTGGTCAAAGCTACAGGGTATGATGGAAACAGCTAGAAATTTAGTTACAAAGTCTAAACCTAACAACTAATATTTATCACTAGTTACTTATGTGATCCTGATATGTCCTTTTAAAATTATAGTTTTATCTTCTGTGGGTGGGACATGAAAATGCCTCACAACTTGAGAATCATTCTAATAATGAAATTAATCGCTTCTTGGCCTTTTGGCTAAGATCAAGTGTAGTATCTGTTCTTATCAGTTTAATAATGAAATTAAATCATATGGGAAACAATGACGCAAACTGTCAAGTATTCTTTCAAGTTTTTGTATTCAATTTTGAATGTGTTGAACTATAATTTCAGTCTATTGCATTTCTTTGAATCTGAAATCTATCACTGAGCCAGACATTATGTCATTAATGTCTTCATCTAAGGTCTGAGCCCAAAATATTTCTCAGCCATCATGATTATAATCTGATTTTCACCTGTTTATTAAGCTAGTGATAAATACCTATACCTTGATGAGTAATTATCTGCAATTTGAAGAATGCCAACAAATATTGAACTTTTCTCATGTCAGTTCAATTAAACTGAAGTGCTAAATATTTAGAATGTACCCAATTCATATTACAAAATAGCCAAAAATACATATATATGTATATATAGATGTTACCTTTCATATTTACTCAACTATTCAACAAATATGGGGTAAGCATTCAGCATCTCATCAATGAATAAAAACAGATGAAAATCCCTTATCTTCCTGAGGGAACAAAAAAAATAAACAATACAATGAGCAGATAAATTACATAGTCAGGCAGAAAGACAATTTGTGCTCTGGACAAATGCAATAGGATTATGAGGATCAGAGAAGGGGCAGTTTTAAAAAGGGTGATCAGGCAATACCTGAGCAAAGATTTGCAGGTCATGAGGCTTAGCTATTTGAATATCTGAGGAATGATCATTGCAGAAGAGGGAACCCCCCGGGGCGGGGAGGGGGCAAAGTCCTTAAGGCAGTGCATGCCTGGAGCTGTGACTGGGACGGAGTGAGTGAAGGGGAGAATCATAGAAGATATCAGAGAACTAATGTAATAGGGAGAGGACCACCTGGGAACAGAGAAGGCCACTGTAAGATTTCAAATCTCTGTTGCTTGTTTTTCATGTTTAATTTTAATTTTAATTTTTGACAGATTCGATATGATTTGTAGATACAAGTCTAAGAACATAATGATATTCCCTCCTCTCTTCCTGCCTCCTTCCTACCATCTTTCCTTCTACTTTTCTTTCTTATTTTTTTTTAGTTTTTGATATAACATATTTTAAATTTACATTACAGTAAAAAGGCTTAATATGTCACTGAATAAGTTTAACAAGTAAAAAGCAAAAAGACCCTAGTTTAGTAAGAATATAAACAATGGTTATAAACAATAATTCAATGGAAAAGTGACCATTTCACCCAGTTTTTTGTCAATTATTCATTCATAATTTCTTTCAGTGAAATATAATAAATTAAAATGTAACATCTAAATATTTTCTGTGTGGTTATAAGACAATAATTAAGTTCATTTAGACTTAAGCCATTTCCTCTCACAGTTTATGCACAGAAATGATTTTATGTAGATTGTAATGCAAATAATTATACATTTTAATTTTTGTACTCTACTAGTTACCACAGATCAGGGGACTCTTAATGTACTTGGATCCTCTGGAAAGTTTTGAGCTGAAGAGTAACATGATTGTTCTGACTTTCCTTTCATAAGGATAATTCGGTGGCTGGTGTTGAGAAACAAGATAGGAAGAAGGAGGCAAGAAAGTTATGCAGGTGGGAAACCATGGCAATTCAGACCAGGGTTAGTAATAGAGATACTGAATATGTTATCAATACTTTTTGAAGGAAAAATTAACAAGCTTTCATGATTGATTAGATAAGGCTTGTGATTGGAAGAAGAGAGTCAAGGATGCCTCACAACTTTTGACCTCCCAGCTGGAAAAATGGAGTAAAGCTGTCAAGTGAAATGGGAAATAATAAGGGCAGAACAGGCTTATTGTAGGAGAGGGGTTGACCTGGAGTTTAGACCTGGAGACATAGTTATGAAGTACTTGTTAGACACCTAAGTGAAGATGTCGAGTGAGCAGTCAGATTCATATGGATCCAGAGTACGTGAGAGAGTGCTTATCTGGAGATATAAGCACGAATGCTGCCATAATATAGATGGTATTTAAAACCATAAGATTTGATGAGATCATTTAATGAGTAAGTGTAAACAGAAAGGCAAAAAGGAGCTCAGGATAACCACATCATTAAGAAGCCACTGAGAAGAGAAAATACTAGATACAGAAACTGGGAAGAAAAGGCAATTGAGAGAGGAGGGAATTAAGGAGGGTGTGGAATTCAAGAGAAGCAAGTGTTTTAAGGATGGGGCAGTGATCACGTGTGTCAAATCTGCTGAAAAGTCAGGTAATGTGAAAATTAGAAACTGATCACTGCAGGGAAGTGTTTGACCTGGCCATTACATCTGTTATGATGACTTCATCCCGTATCAGCGTGCCCATATTCAATTCTTTTTTTTTTTTTTTTTTTTTTTTTTTTTTGACAGGCAGAGTTAGACAGTGAGAGACAGAGAGAAAGGTCTTCCTTCCCTTGGTTCCCCCGCCAAATGGCCACTATGGGCGGCGCTGCACCGATCCAAAGTCAGGAGCCAGGTGCTTTCTCCTGGTCTCCCATGCGGGTGCAGGGCCCAAGCACTTGGGCCATCCTCCACTGCCTTCCCTGGGGCCACAGCAGAGAGCTGGACTGGAAGAGGAGCAACCGGGACAGAACTGGCGTCCCAACCGGGACTAGAATCTGGGGTGCCGGCGCCGCAGGCAGAGGATTAGCCTAATGAGCCCCGGCACTGGCCTGGATTCAATTCTTAATTCCAGCTTCCTAATAATGCAGGTGCAAAGAGGCAGCAGTTGATGCCTAAGCAGTTGGGTCCCTGATATCCATGTGGGGAAATCTGGATTGAGTTCTGGCTCTTGGCTTTGTCTTGGCTCAACTCTGGCTATTGCAGGAATTTGGGGAGTGAACCAGTGGATGAGAAATCTGTCTGTCTATGTCTCTCTACATATTGAATAATAGTAATAATGAAAATTTATCATTGGATTTAGTGATATAATCTGTAAATACTTAAAAATAATCATACAAGTAAAAAATCACTTTACCACTTTCTAAAAATATTGTGTAATTTAATTCGCAAAGTTGATGTGAGGTACTATTTAACTTTTACAACTTTTTATTGATGTGTAGAAAGTTCATTTAACTTGAAAGTTATAGACCCAAGTGAACCCATGTGCTCTGATTGTGAAAGTCTATGTTTTTTGATGAAATTCCATTTGAGATGGAAAATCATTACCTTAAGCTCATGAATATATTTCAAATTTCATTAGAAATTTTATTGACATATCAATTTTGCCTCAAAAATAGCTATAGTTGTTCTGTCATATACGAACTAATAGCACTTTCTTCTATTATCTCTTGGACAAGTAGTTTATAAACAAACACATCTACCTGTGGGTAATGCTCTTCTACAACTACACTGACTGGTAAAAACCAAAGAATGAGTACTGTAATAGAAAACAGAGAATGTGAAAATTCCTTGCATAAATATATTACAAGAACATCTCATATTCCTGGACTTCTTTCTGCACCTGCACTGTGTTTTTTTCTTATATGCCCTGCAATGTTGCCACACGCTACCAGACTTCCTCTGCCATTTCATGTAAATGCCCTGGTGCCTCCTTTGCATAACCACTCTTGTACTTTGGGGCCATTATTAAATAAAATGAGTTACTTGTTCACAAGTACGATGATAATGTGATAGTTACTGATCACCGAGATAGCCACTGAGTAATGTGCATGTAGTTCAGATAGCAGTGATATACTGAACAAAGGGATGATTTACGTTCTTAGTAGGATGGAGCAGAACGGTGTGAGATTCCATTATGTTACTCAGAATGATGTTTAATTTAAAATGTATGAATCATTTCCTGGACTTTCCATTTTTTTTTTTTTTTTTGGACCACTGTTGAGTGCAGACATCTGAAACCACAGAAATTGAACTGTATGATGAGTTGCTGAATTTTTTAAAGTAACTCTGAAATTATTCTCCTTAATTCTCAGAGTGTAAGTGAAACATGGTTAATATTCTAATCTGTGTGGAATGCTACAATAAAATACCCTAACATAGGTAACTTATAAACAACAGAAATTTATTGCTCATAATTCTGCAGGATGAGAAATCCAAGGTTAAGGTATTGGCAGATTTGGTTTCTGATGAGGGCTCAGCCTCTGCTCCATCAATGGCAACTTGTTGTTGTGTCCTCATGTGGGGCAAGGGAGCTCCCTCCAACCTCTTTCATGAAAATACTAGTCCTATTATGTGGTGGTGTGAACATATTAGGATCATATTAGATTCTAACATGAATTTGGGAGAAGGCACACCAACAGTGAGATGTTCAGAAATTTCCATGAACACAATGGAAAACGAGATAAGGGAAGAGAAAAACTGAAATGACTATTTTTGTTTCAATAATCTACTTGAGTATGAAATCTTGAAGGAAGACTTCCAAATCCTTTTAGGAAAATGTAGTTATTCTACTTATTTTTGAAACTCAGCTATGACTTGGATAAGTATTTCTAATATATCTATGATATTTTATTTCACTCTTTGTTAACTAGGTTTTTCTCATCTAACAACTTGTAAGTTCCTCAAGTTTAGGAATTTGATTCAACAGCTATCGAGTGCCAATAGGTGTCAGGCATATACTAAGTTCATAACAACAGTGTTCACGAATGCTTATTTTGCACTCAAATATGTATCTAAGCCAGTGAAGGGAATGATTAGACAAGTAAACAATCACTGGATAGATTAAAATGTGCTAACATAAAGGGAAATACAATCAAACTCAGCAAAAACATCTTTGAAGAATTGCTATCTGTGTTCATTCATAAAGGGAACTTAGAGATAACATTAGCAAGGGCAGAAGGTCATTCCTGGTTAAATCACAATCAAGTGTTAAAATATTTATGGATTTATTCCGACAGGGTCATAGTCAAAGTGGAAGTTCTCTTCTCCCTTCAGAGAAAGGTACCTCCTTCTTTGATGGCCCCGTTCTTTCCACTGGGATCTCACTCACAGAGATCTTCCATTTAGGTCTTCTTTTTTTTTTTTTTTTCCAGGGTATCTTGGCTTTCCATGCCTAAAATACTCTCATGGGCTCTTCAGCCATATCTGAATGCCTTAAGGGCTGATTCTGATGCCAGAGTGCTATTTAGGACATCTGCCATTCTATGAGTCTACTGTGTATCCCACTTCCCATGATAGATCGTTCTCTCCCTTTTTGATTCTATCAGCTA